AATTCTGAAAAGATCACAAACTTTAATTATTTATGGTACAAAATGCCACATAATCATGAAAATGACACCAGTAATACATCAGAGATGTAATTCTGTGTATGGTACCAGTATAACTAATACACCTCGAAAGTATACATAATGTTTTATAAAAGAGTAATGATTTTAACAGATTTGTATGGTTGTGAAATATGGGTGATAAGAGAAAGACAGGATAATTAAAAGTTTTAAACAACATTCTTGTCACATGCTGTTATGATGTTATACGACAAGCAGCAAAACGAACACTCAAGAGAAATATTAAATATATTTTACCTATGAAAGAGGGCAGAATTTATAGGACACAGCTGGACTTATTACATTTTAAAAACGGGAGATCAACGGTACGGAAAACGAACATCAAAGTAAAACCAACATGGGGAACGGATTAAAAAAAAGGTCTACGGAAATTACCATGCTGATTCCAAGAATCAGACTCCTTATTGAGAGATCGAAGTCATTCAACTGCTGGAGAAATTTTTGTCATTTTTCGGAACCCGAATGTATATTTTGTGTTCTGTTACTGATCTATATGAATCCAGCAGTTCACAATTTCCTAACAATCGTTTTAACATTATCTTCGGCTCTTCGCCTAGGTCTCCTAAGTGGCATCTATCATTCACATTTCACACGTCGATTTACATAAGCATTTATCGCTTCTCCCGTGCTTGCCAGTTGCCCCGTTCATCTTCTCATTGATTTGTATACCCCAATACGTGGCGAAGATTACGAACTCTGAAGCTTTTCATTCTCCTTTTATTACCTGTCTCTTAGGTCCGAATATTCTCAGCACGCTGTTCTCATATCCCCTGAATCTCGCACCTTCACAGGCCAAATTCAGACGAACAAATCGATTATAATGCCCCGCGACATTTTTCTTGGCGTCTTACAGAAGAGGGGTAGGGAGAGAGAGAGGTGCTCTGCTCTGCTCAGTACAAGCAAAGTAATAATATTCCTCCTTTATTCAGAAGTGTAGACCTGACACCGCTGCTAGAAATGTTTTTTGATCGGTGAATATCCACCTTGCCGCACCGTTGCAATAAACCAAACCGTCACGAGCCGATCCAAAATTGCAACTGTTAAAGAAACCGCCACGTAAACTGACGCGTACAATGCGTTCTGTGGTCCGAACAGGCCAAGAAATCTAACATGGGACACTGGATGATGAGAAGGCTAATTCTATGAACGATAAGCATTTTTTTCAGAAGGATTTTGTGGTCTGCCGGGTTACGACATTCTGAAGTGTTGTAAGTGATTACCAACTTTTCGAAGCAACGTACCGCCTCCATCTTCAATGTTTGTAATCAACTATAAGACTAATGAGCGTCGTAATACTTGAAAAAGCCAATCGACATTTTCATCGCCACGAGGATATCATGTCACGTACAATTTTTATGAAGGTCAATTACGAATTCGTGTCAAGTGTAGGTTTACTACGCAGGATTACCGAGGGCTATGATTTCATAAATTCTACAATGTACACTTTATACGGCCCCAAAATGATATTTAATCAAAATCCTTTAGGTTTAGTGTATTCAGACCGATGACATCCGTACAAAGTTTTCACTTCACGCATTTGTAGAGAAAACCAGATAAAACCAAAGTGATCGTCTGCGTTATAAACGCGGACAGTGGCATCTAAATCGTGCCCTCCCCCTCATTAAATTACTGCACAAATTTATCTGCATTCCCTTGGTTTCGATTAGCAGCCCTCTTTCTTCTTTGCATCTCGCCTCACACCGTCTCTAACACCTTCTCATTAACCACGAGCTCTCGTCTCCCCGTGAGTTCCAACGCCACTAAACAAAGCTCGCCTTACACCCCTATAAGCCTAGAACAACCCCTATACATCACAACATGCAGTCTCATTACCGCACACACTCTTCCCCCACTGTCACCTCATAAACGGGTGTCCACAGCGATTGCCTATTCCAAAGATATCTCGCATGTATTATTCATCTACTCAGTTTGACACGTCTCTTTAGTGATGTCTGTCCACATTGACTGTGACACGTAAGGCAGATTTATAGAACTCGTTCTCTTAATAAATCTGTTGGATTTTATATAGCACAAGTGGTGGATTCATCTGAGGCGATCGCCAGAATTAGACTGAGACAAAGTCTGGTACCTCGTTAATGTTGTTTGCGCATACTGACTCGTCTGAATAACATGCCTTAGATTTGTTCTGTTTCATGCCTGATACATTTTATGAGGCAACATTGCTGGATTATATACGTGACAAGTACATTGAATTGTATAAGAAAAGAACGCTGGATTTTTGATAAGACGATTGAGAAGGGTGTTGGACTGGATATGAGACCCGTACTTTGCTGAATATAAGACAAGACTTACAAACTTTCATATCAGTATTTATAAAACACCAGTGGTTTATTTTATATGAGATAAGAGTGTTGGAATTATGAAATAAAAATACTCGAATTTATGAGACGAGAGTTGGATTACGTGAGACTAAATTTTGGCTTTACAAGCTTTAGATTTATATGCGACCATTATATTGAATATTATCCTGTTAACGAATCACGTATTTTATCTGTAAGAAGTTGGCGAAATTTTATCTGGGAGTGACGTGTCAGATCGTATCTAAAACATGGATATTTGATTTGATGTAGCAATGGCACCGGGATAACTTCTATGGATGTTATCTCGTAGTGACACATTTAATTTTGTCTGCTACAGGGTTGTTAGTCTCTTTTCTTGTAGTCGTATCTGAGACAGGTCTGTTAGATTCTATCTCCCAGCTGCGCGCTAAGATTGTCATCTGTTGCAGATTTAGTAGATGCTGTCCCATTGCCTTATTTAATATTATCTAGAACAAGTGTTTTGGATATTTCTTGAGCTGACCTATCAGACTTTATCCGACTAACAACCGATCAGCTAAATATGAATAATCCGTGAATGGAAACTTCTGTACGTGGATCTTACAAAACTTCATCAGGGCGATGATGCTGGAGGCAGTAAGCACCTTTGAAACGTCAGAAAATTTACATGCGAAGTTACATGGCGCAACATCCCAAAAGACAGTCAACTTCATACTCGAAGAGAACATAAAACCTAAGTTGCTTAGCTCGTCTGCTTCGGAAACAAACATGTTTAATATAATTGAAAGATAATGTCTGGTATTGGTGGTGGTGGTGATTCAGATATCTTGGTATCTCGAATTAGAGCAATCGGATGTAGCATTGTTTTTTTTTTCGAATTCCTTCCCATTTACGAAGCTGTGGCAAAGTAAACCCTTTGTGCAGTCCTGTACTACAGTCGCCATTTGACGATCCCTCTAATTAGCGCTCCGTTCTGTCGGATTCGAAACAGCGTTAAACGAAAGTCACGTTCTTGCATGGCGCATTGTCAATTGCTCTGTATTGCCAGTTAATCATCTGACGATTATTTCAGCCGTTGGTCTACTAGAATATACTCTGACCACTACAGGCATGCAACTTCACGTTTCCACGCTTGGAATTGAAATAAAGACAGGTCTACAATTTTCCGTCGAGCTAGAGTTTGCTACGTCGCACGCAGGGGAGACCATGTCCGTTAATCACTGCTGCACAATATACTACAATCGTGATTCGAATGCCACGTCAAGCTGTCATATTTATCTTCGCCATCATAAAGGAAATTCTGCCCTTTGAGCGGTTTCTTTTAAAATATGGATTCCTATATTCATATTTGTCAGGCGGCTGAGATCAGGAATATCCAAGTGTCTTCATCTAGCCATCAACCACAACGGCACGAATCTAATCATGATTACTAACGATGGAATCCTATTTGCGGACCTGTTAATTGCAAGCCAGCTGTCTTGTGTGTTGAACAGCCACAAGATTTCTCTTCCTTAGATAAACAATTCTGTACTATTTTTCATGCCCTAACATGTTGTGATTAGACATGAGTCCAGCCCTGTAAGTCTCCCTAGGGGAATGGCAACGATTGTCCTGTAACACTAGCATCCCTGCATTAGTCACACCCCAAACCCCATCATTATGAACCCGTATACAAAACGACAATCAGCTCGTCATCTCCGGTTTCCAACATACTACGACCAATCCGAGCAATTTCCTGCCTGCTAATGGCAGTCAAGGTTGCTTCATTCATATAGTTCAGTGCTAAAATTAACACAAGATTGCAGTATGTTCAACTCATTCGATTTTCATCAGAAAGATAATAAGCTTGTCAAATTGGTCTCGTTAAAGGGAAAACCGGGTATATAAAATTAATTTGTCCTGACAAATCTGTTTTAATTTTAGAAATTTGAC